CAACTTCACCATCTTGTACTCCAAGCCCAGTTCAGTCACATGAATATCACGCTCATGCTTTTCTACAATTTCCTTCTTCAATTCAATGGTTATTTTCTTCAAAACCTTATTCTTACTATGCTTGCTCTGCACTTTCTTTTTACCACCATGCTTGCTCTGTGCTTTCTTTGGAGCCATGCTAAAAAGCACACCAAAAAGCTTCACAGCCAGTGTCTGTCTGCAACCGCGATCTTGCCTACAGGAAGCCTTCAATTCAATGGTTATTTTCTTCAAAACCTTATTCTTACTATGCTTGCTCTGCACTTTCTTTTTACCACCATGCTTGCTCTGTGCTTTCTTTGGAGCCATGCTAAAAAGCACACCAAAAAGCTTCACAGCCAGTGTCTGTCTGCAACCGCGATCTTGCCTACAGGAAGCCATGACCACGTGTCACGGCAGGGAAAATGGCCACGGATCCTGTTCATCACCCGATGCGGAGTTCGCGAACGGAAGCAAGATTTTGCGAACGGTGCTGGTCACGAACCGAATTGTTCGTGAACAGAAGTGTTCGTGACTTGAGGTACCACTGTATATGAAACAGAAATGTAACTTGGGCCTTTAATATTCTTATTTCCACCTCATTTTTAATGCTGCCACTACTTACTATCAGTGCCTGTATATGCTTTTATTATATCACAGAAACAATCCTATCTGAAAGAGCAGAAAGACCCTTCCAACTCATACTTACCATATGCCATGAATGATGTAACAACCCACAATTCATTGTCAGCTATGAAGGCTGCTTTATATGGCACTAGGTTAGGGTGGCTGAAGAATTTTGAGACATGAAGCTCACCCTGAAATCCAAAATGCAACAAGATATTCTTGGCAAATCAGTACAGTAGACTTCATAAGATATGGAAATCCAGAGTGGATTAAAAAAAAAGAATTAGCTATAAAATATAGTACTGTATTTTGTTAGTAATGTAATTTAGTCATTCAGATTTTTAACTAGCAATTCACAATTCATGGACATTTTTAGTGACTATCAATAGAGGTAGGAGGCTGCTAGTGAAATGAATAAAATACTATTATATTTTTTCCCGGTAATATCTAACTGGCCTCTGTGGGAACAGAATGCTAGACTAAATGAGCTTGATTCACAGTGACTTCATACAGTAAATCAGGCAAACTAAGAACACCTCTAGGAGGGACAAACCAAACTAATTTGGCACATGATTGCTAACTTTACCTGCAAAAATGCTACCATCTCATTGGTGCAGGCCTCTAAGTTGACTCTCCGGACAGTGACAAATTCCCCACTTGGTTTATATTGAGCCAGATTCACAGTCATTAATTCCTCAAAACCTTTTCCTGAAAAAATATGTAGCATTGTTACAATACTATTTCAACCAAAATGAGACATACAACATTTCAAACATTTTCTTGCCTCTATCCATTTTGGGAATTTTAATTATGGCAGAATTCAGGGAAGTCATCTCCTTAATCTAGATTCTCAAGATGCATTTCTTCATCCACTGTTTTTGCTAATAAATTAAGGCATTCATTTATATATTATTTACCAGTTTTATTTTTTCTATTGTAGTTAATAATATAAGAGAAGTAGTACTTGGAGAATAAAAGAAAGTATCAATACTCTCCAAGTTGTCCACATTTTCCCCCCTATTCATTATGCTTAAATCTGCAATGAATTTTCAAGCCACCAAAAGACAAATGCCAGTGGAATATACCATGACATGATCTGACAAAAACCTTTTAGCATTTTTTTTAAAAAACAGTAAATAGTGTTTTGAAAAAGAATCTATCATGCCTCATGCACAGTAATTATTATTATTAAAGTCTCAAACTGCGCTATAAATTGACCTCAGATTAAAAAATAACATAAATAATATTATACAAAATTACAAAATGAAATGGTAAAATTATGAGATTTTAAATTCTGTAACCCAGGAAGACATTTTCCTGCTTAGTGATAATATGTACATGTTTACACAAATGAATTATATTTTGTAAAATCAGCTGCAGAATTTTTAATAAGCGTGCAGCAGGTTTTGAACACAGCAGTTGAAAGCATAATGATGAGAAAGAAGAGTCACAAGTTAGTATTTGACAGAAGGCCAGATTTTAGGAGCGGAGATAATAAAGGAAGGCATTAAAATTCCATAAACAAATATATCCACAAATATAATTGAAATTTGTACTCTGTAAATAACCAACACAAAAATGTAGGATAGCCATTATGGAGGGAATTGAGAGAATATAGAGAAGTGCAGAGATGAAAACAGCAGCTAATTTTGCAGTAAAACTTTAGGAATCCAAGAATGACAGACGGCAGTTAATTAGAATTAACTATGCAGGTATGAGGGGACTATATTTCTTCTCTGCCTTTCCCCCCCTAGATCAGAATAGGCTCATTTCCACCATGGCTTGATCTGAAACAGCATGGGACAAATGAGAATACTCAAAGGAAGGCGATCAGGTATGCTAGTATTCAAGCTAAGAGATGCAATAATGATGATGGGGCACTTGGTAACTCATCACCCCACCAGAGTTTCCATTTTTTTTTCTTTTTCCTTGTCAACTTAATGCAGGGATGGGCAACATGGTACTATCTTGATATTCTGGATTACAATTCCTACACAATTTCATGTTACTGACCATGCAAACTAGGTTAGTGGGATTAATTCAAAGTATCTAAGGAAAAACCAGGTTACCTAACCTTGTCTTCAGATTTAAAGCATGTTTGGGAATACAATGGCCAACATTACCTATTATGGTCAGTAACTCATAGCAGCTGATGTCAGGCAGGTAACTGCTCATGGTGTCCCTCTTTGGGGAAGATGTTATTGACTCTGAACTTGCCTCATTGGTCTGGAAGATAAAACATAAGATATAGAAAGATATTACAAAAATCTGTAAAATAATATTGCATATACTTGGCACCATTTATTTTAGTAAAGTGAGATAGAAAACATACCCTTTGCTGGAGGTGGTATCACCTCTAAAATATAATTTTTGGAAAGGACTATCCAATAGCTGTAAAATGCCATCCCAGTCTTTATACAATGTTTGGCTGTATTTCTCACTGAATCTGTCACAAGCAGCACTTGCTTCTCTATAAAATTATCTGTTACTTCTAAATAGACATACACAGCTTTATTATTGCTCAAAATATGAAATTCAACATTTCTAGGTATATATTTGCAACCTATAGCTTTCACATCTGGTAAGAGGGTTTTTTTCTGCTCAGTTCTGCAGAATATTTCAAGTTCAAACTTTAGCATCTCCAGATAAAATTATTAGGAAGCCAGGCTATAAAAGATTCCTGGTATAATAGGGGGGCCACTACACTCAAAGTTGACAACTCTTAGCCAGATGGATCAAAGATTATGAGTTCCTACTGTTATTTCCAAAATGTTATATCCATTATATTTTCTTTGCAATACAATTGAAAAAAAACTAATTGTCTTCTCTTCTCTTCCTTTAATATCTCTCCCTCGTTTGAAAAGCATAACACACACTGAGTGCACTTGAGAAACTATAGTAAAGAATGTATTTAAAAAAGGAAGTCAGAAAGGAAAAGTTGCCAGCAGAAGAAGTCAGGTTTTGGAGAACAGCCATTGTCTAAAAGTTCAATGTTAGTAAGTTTACTCAAAGTTTACTGAGTCCAATAGGGCTTACTCTGGCAAGTATATGTTCAATTACATGCTAAAACTCTTTAAGATGCAGGTATTCACACTAAACAAGTATGATTAAACTTTGTGCTGCACAGAATAAAAATAGCATGTTGTTATTTACAGAGGAATATAGTTTCCAGCAAATCCGTTATTTCCCTCTTAGAAAACATCATAAACTATTTTCTAAATTGCCACGCAGAAACAATAACTGCTTGAAAAATTCTATTCATGCAGAAGAATTCTACTGAAGCTTGATGTTTTACAAACATGTTAAAAAGTTTGAAATTAAAATTTTACTTGTGATATAGCTCCTTCAAGTAAATCAAATTACAGCCGCTCCCCAAGGATTTCAACACTGGATGATTTTTGGTGTAAAATGGCAAATTAATTTCTCATTTCAAATTGTTTTTAAAAAGCCAGCTTTTTATAGCATAAATTTGGTTGGATTTATGTTTTGACAAAACTTGTTTGGAAAAAAAGATGCAGTACTGTATTACTAATGCAGCTGGAAATACCAGAACAAAAGCTGGGGGAAAATGATATACTAAATGCTACTTCAGCATCATCTCTCAGTTCTCTTTTTTCCCCTAACCCTCTCATTCTCTTCCTATCATTATCTTATAATTCCCTCACCTAGATTTTCTACCAGTTCCATTATTTCTTACACTAAGATCCTTAGTCCTGACACAATAAAATGCTCTTCAGATACCTATTCCATCTTACTGTAGCCAGCATGATTTTTGTCTCATTAAACTTCTCTGTTGTTGCCACCAGCCCTGAACAATTCTGTTATTTTCTTCTGTCCTTGATCAGCATATCATATCTTCTACAGTATTGCTAGACTCTATGAAATGCATCCCTTCTTTCTTACTGACTTTCTTGCTTGAGGTTCCTGTTAATGGGCTTTATTTTTCTCACATTTAGGCTTCTTCTACTCATTGTCCTACATCACAATCTATTGCTTACTTTGCTTTTTCTTCAGCTACTGGCTTCATGATCATAATTCTGTTGTTTTCTGGGTCTTCTTCACAGCCGTCTTTATTCAAACAATTCCAACTGTTCTTACTGTACTATGGAAGGCTACTCTTGAAAAACATAATGTCTCTCAGAACCTGAAGAGTTTATCAAGATTGAAACTGAACACTTTGAAGTTTTACTGATGACATTTTTACAGCTCATCAATGATGAGTAGATAATGATGACTGAAAATAAGGCAGATAATGGGTTTATAATAAACACATCTATTCACAATTAAGTCACACTGAATTCAGTGTTGATTTCTCCCATGCAATTCTGTATCACTTATTTGGGAACAAATCTACCTGAATTCAATGGAACTTCTGAGAAGACAAGTCTGAAGTTGCACCATAATCTCTTAAATATTCCATATATAAATGGATAAGCACTATTCCTATCAGCAAAATGGAGTTTTTCCCAATCTGGCCAGAATTATGAAAAGTTACAGGGATGTTAAATTTGTTTAGTCATGACTGCCTTGGATTTCAATTTGAGTTTTTATTATTTTTCAATAGCAGATCAACTACTTCACTTTTACATTTTATTTTTTAAACAGGCATTATACCAATTACAAAAATAAAGGAGACCTGGTCAGATTAATTGCTTGAGGGTCCAAGGTTCTTGACCAAAATAAAATACCTATGAACAATTGTGCCAAACACCACAACCTTCTTTCCAGGGTGAAATCTTGTGCCCACACAAATAAAGCTAAAACATTTGATGTATAAATAAGACAAAATGAAAACAAAGTTAAAATGTCCACAAGGAATAGAATAAATTTCCATGCAATAGGCCACAACATCACAGCCTATAAAGGACACTTACTTTTCTCCGAGAATCGCCCGGAGGCTGCTCTGGAGTAAAGAAATTCATAATTCAACTTTGTTTTTAAAACAGATACCCATTAAAAATAAACCTGAATCAGTTCATTAACAAGAAAAAATAACCTCAAAAAATCTGGTTCCATATTAAGATCTGTGATTGGACAAAAACAGTAATTTCTTGAAAAATCTATAACTGTTATTTTGTTCTGCTTAAGACATAGATATACACACACATACATACACACACTCACTTTGGACTAAAAATATATAAATACAGATATACAGGTAGTCCTTGCTTAACAACCCCAACTGGTAGTGGCAACTCTGCCACTAAGAAAAGCAGTCGCTAAGTAGGAAATCATGTAACTGCAACTGTGCTTTCCAGCTGGAAAAAGACAAGACCACTCAATTTCACACTATTGGCTTTTGTTTGCTTCCTAACCACTCCCCCGCCCTTTGGAATACTTGAGTGCCTGCTTACTGTCTTGTACACATCAAAAGCAATGCGATCACACCGCAGCCTGGGCTGGTAGCCGCAGGAACACTACGCAAACAGCTTACTCTCTTGAAATCTCTTTGTCTCCAATCTCTCTACTCTGCGGAGTGAGGGGGAGAGAAGAATCAGGCAAAGGAGAGAATGCCTACAGAAATCGCTTGCTTTTTTTCTCTCCCCCTATCGCAAAGCGGAGATATTGGAGAAAAAGAGCTTTCAAGAGAGTAAGTTGTTTGCTCTTCTACGCATTGAGAGCAATGCAATCTCACTAGCAGTGAGAAAGGGTCAGGTAAGGAAATACTGCCTACAGAAATTGCTTGCTTTTTTTTCTCCCCCCACCCTCTCACAGAGTAGAGAGATTGGAGAGAAAGAGATTTCAAGAGAGTAAGCTGTAAGCTGTTTGCATAGTACACCCAGCCGCAGGCTGCCAGCACAACTGCATTTATTTCGATGTGCAGAAGAGCAAACATCTTATGGTACCCTTTTGAAATCTCTTTCTCTCCAA